AAAAAAAAAAAATCTCAAACCAGGCTGTATTGCAAACATGTGTTTGCATCATCTAGGCATGCATGGACAAGCTGATAAGGTTTATGTTACAACCAAGAAGCTAACGCCAACACCGACCACTGGCTTTCTACATTTACTGCCAAATATACTTTTTCTTTTTTTTTTTTTTGAGTTGGAATCTCACTCTGTTGCCCAGGCTGGAGTGCAGTATTATGCTCGTGGCTACCGCAGCCTCGACCTGCTGGCCTCAGGCAATCCTTCCGCTTCATCCAAGTAGCTGGAATTACAGGCGTGTGCCACCATGCCCGGCTAATTTTTTGATTTATGTAGAGACGAGGTCTCGCCATGTTCTCCAGACTGTTCTCGAGCCCCTAGGCTTGGGCAATCTTCTTGCCTCAGCCTCCCTAAGTGCTGGGATTAAGGCATGAGTCACCGTGCCTGGCTTTTCTTTTTTTTTTCTTTTTTAAGGAAGGAAGGGAAACTAGTGAGATTCTGGGAAGCTGAGTGGGCTAACCTCTATCTGGTCACTAGGGCTTGTTCATTGCCCTAGTCTGGGCAGACTAGGTATGGCCAGAGTTGCATGGGATGAAAGTATTCACAGCGGGTGTGGTGGCTCAAGTCTGTAATCCCAGCACTTTGGGAGGCGGAGGCGAGAGGACTGACTGAGTCCAGGGGTTCGAAATCAGTGTGCGCGACTTGGTGAGATCTTTTCTCAACAATAAATAAAAAAAACTATTAACCAGGTGTGGTGGTATGCTCCTGTAGTCCCAGCTACTCAGGAGGTTGAGACAGGAGGATTGCCTGAATCCAGCAGGTCAAGGCTGTGGTGAGCCGTGATCATGCCAGTACTCTCCTGCCTGGGTGACAAAGTGAGACCGTGGCTCAAAAAAAAAATTAGCTCCTGTTGTTCCAGCTAGCTGGGTGGCTGAGGCAGAAGGATCCCCTGAGCCCAGCAGGTCGAGGCTGCGGTGGCCATGAGTATTCCACTGCTCTCCAGCCTGGGCGACAGACTCCAACTAAAAAAAAAAAAGTATTCACCAAAACAGTTATGAATTAAGAAAGGTAGATTTATTAAAGGAAAGATACGTTGTGAAAGGCACAATGGGCAGAACAATAGCAAGAGTGTCTGCTGTCGTAATAATTTCATTGCCTAAAATTCCATCAAATTCTTTTTTTTTTTGAGTTGGAGTCTCACTCAGTTGCCCAGACTGGAGTGCAGTGGCTGTTCCCGGTCACTGCAGCCTCGACCCGCTGGGCTCCGGGGATCCTTCTGCCTCAGCCTTCCAAGTAGCTGGAACTACAGGCGTGTGCTACCACGCCCAGCTAATTTTTTGATTTATTGTAGAGATGAAGTCTCACCTGCCCAGGTGGGTCTCGAACCCACGGGCTCAGGCAATCCACTCACCTCAGCCTCCCAAAGTGCTGGGATTACAGGCTGAGCCATCGGGCCTGGCCCATCGAATTCTTACAAAGAAAAAAACAAAAAAACAACAATGCAATGATTCTGATACAGTAGCTTACACAGATCTGCTCCTGCAGTTCACAGAGCTACTGGTCCCTTTTTTTCCTTACTGTCAAGTCTTCTAGGGCTCCTGTGAGACAGTAGCCCCTATTCCTCCTTAATATTTAAATTTTTAATATTTTTATTTATTTATTTTTTGAGTTGGAGTCTCATTCTGTCACCCAGGCTGGAAGGCACTGGCACGCGCCCAGCCACTGCAGCCTTGATCTGCTTGTCTCAGGCAATCCTTCAGTTTCAGCCTTCCAAGTAGCTGGAACTATAGGCACGTCCTACTATGCCCGGCTAATTTTTTGATTTATTGTAGAGATGAGGTCTCACCAAGTTGCCCAAGCTGGTCTCGAATCCGTGGGCTCAGGCAATCTTCTCACCTCGGCCTCCCAAAGTGCTGAGATTATAGGCGAAAATTTTTATTATTTTTTTGAGTCAGAATCTCACTCTGTTGTCCAGGTTGGAGTGCAGTGGCATGCTCACAGCCACCACAGCCTTGACCTACTAGGCTCTGGCAATCCGTCCACCTCAGACTTCCAAGTAGCTGGAAGTACAGGCGTGCACCACCACACCCAGCTAAATTTTTTTTTTTTTTTGAGTTGGAGTCTCACTCTGTCGCCCAGACTGGAGTGTAGTGGCCGCTCCCGACCACCACAGCCTTGACCTGCTGGGCTCTGGCGATCCTTCTGCCTCAGCCTTCCAAGTAGCTGGAACTACAGGCGCACGCTACCACACCCGGTTCATTTTTGATTTATTGTAGAGATGAGATCTCGTCAAGTTGCCCAGGTGGGTCTTGAACCTGCGGGCTCAGGCAATTCACTCACCTCGGCCTCCCAAAGCACAGGATTACAGGCTGAGCCACCAAGCCCGGCCCCAGCTAAATTTTAAAAAAAAATTTATCATAGAAGGCCAGGCGAGGTGGCTCATGCCTATAATCCCAGCACTTTGGAAGGCCAAGGTAAGAAGACTGCCTGAGCCCACGGGTTCAAGAGCAGCCCGGTCAACTTGGTGAGACCTCATCTCTACAATAAATCAAAAAATTAGCTGGGCATGGTGGCGCGTGCCTGTAGTTCCAGTTATTTGGAAGGGTGTGGTGGAAGGATCACCTGAGTCCAGCAGGCTGAGGCTGGTCTCAGATTCCTGGGCTCAGGCAATCCTCTTGCCTGTCTCAGCTCCAGTCTCAGCTGGGATTACAGGCATGCACCACCATGCCTAGTTTGCAGTGTTCAGTTTCATGGGCAAGTAAGTTTGGAAACAGTCACCTAGAGTCTTGTCTGCATGGGCAAGGTCAATGACTTCTCCAAGTTTTTACCCTTCGTTGGCCTTAAAGACCTTTGTGAAATAGGATCTCAGACAAATGATTCATCACAATTCTGGGCAAATAATCTACTACTGGTGAATTGAAAATGTTTTGCTAATGGCCCAAATGTCATCTCAAGTTTTTTTTTTTTTTTTTTTGGTCTGGAGGAGTTAAACAACTAGCTTATATAATAATTTAGCTTTCAAGTCTAATTTGAAACAAGAACACACTTGGCAAAGAAAAATATAACCTAAGAAATAATTCAGGCTTTTTTGGCTAATAACAGACTTGGACTAGAGTCAAAAAACCTGGACATAAGCATCAACACCTATGTGGTGAGTGACTGTAGACACAATACATGATTACTAACTTTGTTTTTCTCAATTTGCAAAATTAGAACAAGGATGACTAGTTCATATGAGTAGTCTGCCAAACCATTTTATAAATGCAAAATGCTGCTACTACTGATAATGCCTTGAATTGCACCTTTTGAAGCAATCATCCCTCTGTTCCCCAGTCTGCTTCTGACCTTTATGGTGTGGATTGGAGTTTATCCTTCAAAAAGCTTTTTCTGAACACCTCTAACTAGACCCAGGAGGGGTCCCTAGCCTGAGCCACACCCATCCCCCCATGTTATTTCATAGTACTTATCACACTGTGCTTTAAATGTGAGCTCTCTGCTGCAGGGACCCATTGAAGTCATTTTAGCAGTCCAGTAGTGACTGTCTCTCTACCCCCTTCCAGATAGAAGGCATCAGACACAGTTCACTGTTGACAATTTATTATAATGTTAGTAGCACACAGACAGATATTAATTAAAGCAGAACTATGTCTACATAGAAGTGGACAATTATATGTGCCATTCTAGAAGGAACTGTGTGCACTTAATCATCATGTTTTAGTGTTTTGATCTTCTGCTTATGCCGCTCAATTTCTTTCTGCAGACGCTCAATCTCCTTCTTATGATGACCGATCTCATCTTCATGGTGTTTTTTCAAAGCTGCCAGTTGTTCTCTAGTTTGCGCTCTACAAGGACAGTGGCTTTAATCTCAATCCCTCACCTCAAAGAGAACTCTAAACATAACCTGCAATACCTAAGGTAAGAAACAGGAATCCCTACCCATGGGAGTCTGAATGGTCATCCTCTTCTACTCCCCAAGCCCCACTAGTGAAAGAATACCCCTTCTTAAATTAAGGTGTAGCCACCTTAAGGAGATGTCCAAAATAATCCCATTTTCCTGGCGCTAGTGCCTGAAATTCCACCATTATTGAGTTATTCCTTTTAGATTCCTTTTAATAGAAAACTCCAGAGAGATATGATGTAAGTCCCCTTTACCTTAATCAGGGGAACAACCCATGGAACCTGAGTCCCTTTTTGGGGAAAAAAGGAACAAGAAGAGGAAGACAAAGGGGTGTGGTTAAAGAACAAATATCCATTTCCTATTCCAATCTGTCTAAGACTATCAGTGCCTAGAGAAATGCATGGCTCTCTAAAAGGTCAAAAATAAGGGGTCTCTTGCATGGGCAGAACTTGGCCGTTCAATTTAGGTCTCAAGAACGAACTGGATTAAGATGCTGTTTCAGTCACATTTAGGCCTCTGTTTTCCTTACCTATAAAATGTAGAGGCTCAATTAGATGGTCTGTAATTGGCTCTCTAGTATGGCAGGTGCCATGGTGATCATTCTTAACAGAAGGCAGAAGTGAAAGATAGGCCAAAGGAGGAGAAGCAAGGTTAGATCTCGCTGTTCACTCTCCAGTGAGAACAGATGTTAGTTAAAGATACTCTGGGCTCAGAAAAGGAGCAGATAGGCCCAGCTCATTCCATTCTGTTAAACAAGAAGGGAAAATCTACAGCCCAGGGTTTAAGCTGGGCTGAATAAGGCAAAGGTCTCCAGAAGAGGCGGAGTCCAACCATAAACAGGTACCATCAATGCCTATGATCCTCACTCTGGCGGAACGGTTGAGAGGTTCTGAAGAATCAGGGAATGCACGCAGGCTTGCGAAGCTAAGGCGTGTGGGGGAGAAAAGGGGACGTAGAGGAGGTGATAGGTGGGTGAGGGCCGAGAATGAGGCTCAGAGGGTCTGCAAGTGTTGGACGGTCGGATCTAGACACTGGGGGAAGAATCTGGGAGCGTTTCGCACGACCGCGGAGAACTCCGCGAGGGGAGAGGGATGGTGAGTCTGAAGGAAGAGGTGAGCCGTAGATTGAGAGTTCTAGAGACCCGCCGGCGGAAATGGTTTGACCCAAACCAAGTCCTGAAACTTCAGCAAGGGCCTGGGAGTGTCCTATGGGTGGCAACAGAGGGACCTCAAGCGTTAGGGTATGGTTTGGGGCCCAGGAAGTCTGCTGGAGGATGGGGTGCCTAGACGCCAGGTAGGGATAGGTAGGGCGATTGAGTTTAAGGACTGAAAGCCCTGGGAGATCTAGGGCTGGACTTGGGACCCCGTGGGCCTCACCGGAAATATCGTTCCTCTTCAGCCTGTTCTCTCTTTCCGAAGGCCCCACCGGCTTCCCGGATCGAGCCCGAGCTCCTGTCGACATTTTCGGACTGCAGAGAGACCGAGACATTGGTTCAAGGTGCGCAAGGGAAGATGGGATCCGCACTCGGGGCTGGGGCAACGGACACTGCTGCGGCGTACCTGATCCGAGCCGAAGCCTCGGGTTTGCCTAGCCCTCACGCCCCACATGCCAAGCCAGGTCCGTGCCACCAACGCCGAAACTGCCATTGCTGCCAGAGGATCACGCTCACGGTTCCTACAGCTTCCCTGTACCGGCTAATGGCGAGGACGGCGAAGCACCCAATCTGTTTGATAGAAGGGCGGATGAATATGGAGCAGCCAATAGTGGGAGAGCATAGGCGGGGTTCCTGGAGCTGACAGCGAATCCTGAGCAGGAGGCGGGCCTGTTCTTAGCCAATCGCTAGTAAGGGCCCGGGCCAAAGGAGTGGGGCGAATAAAGATGGAAGTGGTTGGAGTGGAGGGTGAGGACAGTGTGAAGAGCCGGGATTTCGGCTCTTGGACCTATCGAATGATGCCTGGTGTCCAACCTAGCCCACGATTCCAATCCTAAAATGGTTATTATTCAAAGCCCAAAGGAGCTTTCCTTTTTCTGACTTGCTAGCATCAATAAGATGGGGAAAATTTGGGTTAGGGGAGCTATATCTAGGATGCAGACGTCTAGGATACCGACATACAAGGTGCCCTGTCTTAGGTATAAATAATCGTGTTCATCTGTTGGGAGGTGTCAGTGTTCTTTTTGTTTAATTGACATTTCACTCTCAAGTCTTAGCTTAAATTTCATCTCAGAGAAACCTTCCCTGACCTCCTTAGTCATCCTATCACCAGCGATTCTGTTATATCTTTATGTGTTGTTCTCTCGTTGCACTTTTCATCTTGGGACATGATCAAGCCCTTGATCAAGTGGGCACCAAACTAATATTTGTGGACTGTATTAATATTATAAACTAAATAATTTTATAAATCCTTCCGCTTCAGCATCCTGAATGGTTGGAGCTAGAGCTTTTCACCAACACGCCTGGCTACTTTTTTTCTTTTTTTTTTTTGGTAGAGACGAGGTCTCACTGTGTTGTC